TTACGTAAAAATTGACTTACAAGCTGTCAATTTGATTGAAGAGACACTGATTGGGTATGACACACTGATTGAATCTGACACACATCCACTAATAGTAAAGAATAGGCAGCAGTTCGAGATTATTGGTTCACATATCTTATCTTATATTTACAAATGTTGTAATTTTTTTCTAAAATTGTAAATAAACATTAAGATACTGACAGCCTCGCGATAAGTATATTAATTTTTTAATGTTAAAGAAAGAGGAATCAATGAGTGTTGGAATAAGTTGCCCCAACCTGGAACCTGGGACCTTTTGATGTCTATGCAGAAGACTTAAACATTCTTTCCACTCTGTCATTATATGAGAAGCATCATTGGTTCTTCTATATATACATCTGCATTATAATATTCAACAACAGTAATTATGCCATGATACAGTGTTTTTTTTAATATTACACCATACTATTCTATTACAGTATTATTTCTAATAATAATAATAATAATAATAATATGCCTTTTTCACGATGTTCGATCGATGACAAACAATGCTGAGCAGCGAAGTCTAACCAACAGAAATAACATAGCGTTTCGGCCATATTTTCGGAGGTCATGTTACTCAAAAAATCATATATCCTTAACGGAGGGTCGTGTCAACATTTTTTTTTCTTTAAAATGTTCGCAAAGAACATATCTACGTCCTGTATGAATAAAAAAAAAAATTGAAAATTTGTTTACGCTGTCAAAACTCGAAAATAGAAGACCGAGTTTGTATAGTGCGTGTTGCTATTATTTCAAAGTTTTGACAGACTAAACACATTTTAATTTTTCTGTTACTCATACTGTACTTAGATATATCCTTTGCGAACATTTTAAAGAAAAAAAATATGTCGATACGACCCTCTGTTAAGGTGTTATGATTCTTAAAGTAACATGACCTTCGAAAATATGGCCGGCACGCTAAATGATATTCGGCCGAACTAATGGCAATGTGTGTGTTAACACTACACAAAATAGGTCTTTCATTTTCCAGTTATGTTTTGACAGACTAAACAAATTTTCATTTTTTTTTATTCATACAGAACGTAGATATATCCTTTGCGAACATTCTAAAGAAAAGATTCTGTTGACACGACCCTCTGTTAAGGATTATGATTTTTAAGTAACATGACCGAAATAATGTTCGAAACGCTAAGTTATTTTATTGTTTACGCTTCGCTGCTCAATGTTTGTCATCGATCGAAGAAGTCTACCGCAGCATGAAAAAGGCGTATAAAAATAATAATAATAATAATAATAAGCCTAAATAGAGTTTGTTAATAAAGTTAATTACAACAACATTGATAACACAGTAACATTGATAATACAATAGACTCATAATGCTGTAACACAATTAAAAGTATTGCTTTTTAATAAGCTGCTTCTCTTAGCTTCTTCTTTCCTAGAAAATTTATTTTTCTTGCACTGTGTGGATAAAAGCTGGTGATTAAAAAAATGTTCACAAGTTAGTCCTCAAAGTGGAGCTGTCATTTCTTTTATATTGTTCTATAGCAGACTAATGCGGCTACACTTTTTATTCATCATGATGCTACTTATTCCTATATTTAAGGGCAGATCCAGATTTGGGGGGGTCAAAGGGGGCCGAAAGTGCAATCAATTTTTTTCTTTTTCTTTCTATATTTTTTCTTTTTTGAATTGCACTAAAGTAAACAGACAAACATGACCGTCAAGCTTTAAACCATTAATTTATTTTTGGTATTTGTTTTAAAAGTTATAATTTAATACACTTTACTTTAAAAAATATATACTGTATTTAAATATATTTAATCTGTAATTATCATAATGCTTCTTCAGAATTATTGACTGTTTCATTTGAAGCAATTTTATTATTAGTGGAAAGCGAATTAGAAACTTTATTCCCACTTTTCAAAATGCGGCAAAACTCTTGGAACTGGGTTTGCTCCAATTCTGTCATGATTTTATTAAGAGCATATAGTTCCAGTCTTTGGCGTTGTTTCTTGGTCACTTCTTGCTCTTTAATAAGCTGCTTCTCTGTTCTCTTAGCTACTTCTTTCCTAGCAAGTTCTTTTTTCTTTGCTTTGTATTCCATTTGTGATAGGCGATCTTTTACAGCTCGTTGACTCTAAAACAGTAAAAATCATAAAACGTTATTTTGCTATATTAACAATTTATTACTGTGATAAAATTTTTGAGCATACACATGAAACATTAAAAGCATGATATGACATTAAGAAATTATTCCATAAACAAACCAACCACATCAACTGTCTACACTTATCTTCATAATATTTTTTTTCAACATAATATATAAATATACATATAATAATTTCCAGGTCCAACGACTGATGAATGAATACTAC